ATTCAATTCTGTTCACAGCCACAAAGTTTGTGGAAGGCTCCGGTCATCTGATGATGTTGCTGAGGCAGTGGGGTGGAACAGGGCCAAGGAGTTACAAACTAGCTCAGAGTGTTCTTCTCGGACATTTTGGAGCTTATTGGAACACACATTCTGATTAACGGGCAGTTCTAGGACTCAAATGAGTGCCCAAACCGGGCATTATTTGACAGATTTTTAAAAACTTATTAGGCAAATGTTAACGTTAATGGGAGCAAAAAGAGATTCACCCATAGTACAGACTCCCTAAGAAACTAAGTGGTTTTCACTTTTGCTTATTCTCTTCCGGCCCTTGTTCAAATCCGTAAATTCCTGGACATGGTAATCATGGTAGATTAGATACAATTATATATTCTACTTCTTTCTTACACCCAGATGCATACTCAGAATGACGTTAAGTACAGCAACACTCAAAACTAGGGCACTGTGACAACAGCCCCTTCAGGCCTGTGGACTGACCGTCCAGTGGAAGATGTTGGCAGGGCAATGAGACACACCCTGTTCTGCCTGTGTTATTTATGCCTCTGGCAGTGAAGCCCCTGACAAAGAAGCATGTCACTGGAACACATGCTCTTTGTTCACAGAGGTGCATGCCAGCACCGGCTGTGTCAGAAGGGACAGTACCGGGTTTGTAGTCTCTCCTCCTTTGGCTCTTTTGCTTTCTTTTTATTTGCTTGCACATTGTGGCTATGTTTATTAATTACTTTGTAGCTTAATCTTATAAAACAGACATTTATCCTGTGAGCTATGTAGCATGGGGAAAGAGGCCTTCATAGCCTTGCGTTGGTTATAAAGAGAGGACAGGATCTCAAGATTTGCCCCTTTTCTCCCCAAGGATCAATACCACCTCTCCCATGGGCCACCAGGTTACTACCACTCTCTCTGGCACAGAGCTACCACGTTCCAGTCTCCTTCAGCATCTCTCCTTTGCCTGTGACATGGACACTTGCATGCTCCGTTTGGTGTTAAAGGCTGGCTACAATTGCTCTCAACCTCCTGTTCAAAGCAGGCCCCATGCTATGAGTTCATTTCAGTTGGACTGATGGTGTAACAGAAAAAAGATGGCAGACTTTGGAGTCAGACTCCTCTGGGTTTAAATCTTAGCTCTGCCTCTTAAGCCATGCAGCTTAAGGACCCAGAGCTTCAGTTCCTCATCTGTAAAATGATTAAAACAGTCCACTTCATAGGGTTTGAAGATTACATGAGACAGAACATATTCAAGCCCTAAAAGTGAATAGCTCAATTATTGCTTGTTAGCTCATGTAACTGATTTGCTAGTTTTTCATAAAAGCCTTTATTTTATGGCCCTGTGGTTTTCATAACCTTATAGTTACAGACCTCCTGTGCCATCCTGAAGACTACTTCCCTCACAGATTTTCCCGTCACAGAGATGTCTGCTAAGACTAACATTTTACATACAACACTCAAGAAGCAACGTACTAAAAAGTTTTTGCCTTTTCCCAAAATGCTTCTAAAACTTTTTTTGCTTTGAAATTTTAATTCGATACTTTAAAAATTGGTATAGGTGGTTTCGTTTGCCACTAAACGAACTCAGGTAAAATGGAAGAAAACTTCAAGAAAACTTTGTTAATGCATAGAATTGTGCATTTTTCTCCATTCATAAGTTGTTGTCAATCTTTGGAGTCTGTCTATTAAGATTGTATCTGACTTGACCCATGACATATTTACTTATTTTAAGCTGAATACACCCTGAAGTGACTCCCCGGAGGTCTGCAAAACAAACTTAGTGCTCTAACCTTGGCTCTCAGGGTGCTGTCTGAGCCAGACGATTACAAAGGCTACCTGCCAAGGTTCCCCGAAACGCAGCCCAGCAGCCCATCGAGAATTACACACCTCGCAGGGGTACCCTGAGGAATAAATGAGATAAAAGTGTGCGGAAAAACTTCGTAAAACTTCGAGACACCATTAGAAATGCTAATTGCTGCCTTGCTAGCCTATGTTTAAATGTTAGGAAACCCAGGGAGATTCTCCCAAACTCGGGGACGCTCGGTCCCTCTGTGGCTCGGGCCGGCGCCAGGGATGCCCTGTGTCCACAGGCCGCGAGGGCCAATTCCGCCCGGTGCCGCGCGGTGCAACGCGGGACGGCCGCTATTCCGCCCCCGACGGGGGTCCCCGCAGCACTGGCCTCCCGCCTCCAGGCCAAGGGGTGTGGGGTTCGGGCTGTTGGCTTCGCACCGTATGAGGGAGAGGAAAGCGAACCCGAAAGCCCCTGTCCCGCGCTCCCTTCACGTCTCCCGACTTCGCGGGCGTCGGGCCGGCCTGGTGGAGCCTCCCTGGACAGACTAGGCTTTAAAGACCCCCGCAGCCCTCCGGGCAAACGTCCAAGGGCGGGCCGGAGACCCGCCTCCCGGCGCGGCGAGGTGGGGCCGGGGGGGGGGGG